CCCCCAAAACCCCAAAACCCCAAAACCCCATTTATCCAAATAAATGCAAAAGCATCTTTAAAAATAAATCCTCAAAGCTATAATATTAATGTCACAAGACGATAACGAAAGAATCGCGGAACTAGAGATGGATATCGAATGAACCATCTGCTGAGAGCCGCTAGATCAACCAACAGTTGTAGCTGATTGAGGACACGAGTTTTGCAAAGCATGTATTGAACAAACTCAACTGACTACTCCAAATTGACCCCTATGTAGAGGTGAAATTAGGGCTTTAATAAAAGTTCCAAAGCTTGATCTTATTATTGAAAACTACCTATACCTCCTTGAGAGGGAAAGACTTGCAACTAAGAGAATTGAGGCTACCAAGGCTTTACAAGACAGTATCCAAAATCTGGCTATTCAGAAAGACAACAAAGCTATTGGCATGGAAGAAATTGAAATGCTGATAAACCTCGCTACAAACTCTATTGATAAATCGACCGATCAAGACACAACCAAAGACCCTCAGGAAGAACAGAAAGACGAGCCTGATGCTGAAGAAGACCAAGAAGACCTTAATGGCAGAAGAAAGTTCAGGTGCTGGAAACACAGAGATAAAAAGGACGAAGACTTCTCCCACAAATTTAACAGAAGAAGACACAAAATGAGGGAGGAATATTACAAAAACCAAGGCGATGGAGACTTCAAGCCAAGAAGAAGATACAGAAGGAAATACATGGACCAAGAAGGCGGCATGGAAGAGCAAAAAGACCCAGAATCCAGACATGAAGATTCAGAGTATAGGCATAAAAGAAGGGGGTCATATAAGAGAAGAGGCTATGACCACAAAGAGGGCGATAGAGGCCATCACCATAGAAAAGATAGACATCATAAAGACCAGAGAGAGCTTCCTGAAGGAGAAGAGGGAGAAAAAGGCCATTTCAGGCATAAGAAAAGATTCCATAATGAAGAAAACTCTGAAGAGTCATCTCATAGAGGTAGCAGAGGTGGAAGAGGAAGAAGAGGACACAAGAAATATCAACAAGAAGGAGATGGAGAGTATAGGAAGAAACCAAGAAGATGTTTTTGTGTCCCAAAAGATGGGGAAGCTGAGGTGAATCCGAGAGAGTGCAGATGCAAGCAAAATAGGAGAAAGTTTAATCCAGATGATAAAGAAGGAAAGCATTTTGGGTACAAAGATAAGCCAAGAAAATTCCATAAGAAATTTGATAGAAGAGAGGACCGAGGAGATCGTGGAGAGCCTCAAGATGATACGAGAAGAGGAAAATATTAGAATGAATAGTTTTCTAAATTTCATAGGATTCTAGTATGGTTAAACCCAAAGGATATCTATTTTTCACTGAGTCCGCAAAGAAGAAATATTACTCTTATTTAAATTCTGTTGAACGGATTATTCTATTACTTCCTTTCTTATTTTCAATATCTTAGATACTTCAGGGGTTTTGGGGTTTTGGGGTTTTGGGGTTTTGGGGTTTTGGTG